TATGGGGCAGGTGTGTGTGTCTGTGTGTGTAGTGCGTTCAGCCCTGTGGTTTCAAATGTGTGTGAGTTTTAGTTTATGCAACCCTGCTTGATATTAAACAAAGTGGGAAATGTGAGAATGTGACAGACAAAGCGAGAGGTGAAAAAGTGGTGAATGACGAGCTGTTTGTGTGTGTGTGTGTGTGTGTGTCTGGGTGTGTTTTAAAGCGTGAATGCTGCTAACTGGAGGTGCGAGTGGAAAGCAGACATGTCACACTTGACAAGGGTGAAATGGGAGGCAATGATTGGCTGTTGTCTGATGTCACGGATCGTGAGCCATCACAATTAGAAACAATCAGACCCTGCTTAGTCATTCCATCTGTCTTTTTCCACTCTTTTTATTTGTCGTCTCTTCCATCCTTCTGCCCTGCACCAAACAAAGCTTCATCTTTGTCTCTTATTTAATCTCCCTCTGTGTTTTTCTCTCTAATTTGCTCTTATCGAAATTCCGCTGCTAATTTTCCTGATTGCTTTCCATTTCTGTCATTTCCTTTATGTTCTCATTCTTATTTGTTTAATTTATTTATGTTTATTTCATTAATTATTGAGCATAGGGTGATGTAATTACTAGCGACGGTGTAATACAGCATGTAGGATTCAAATAAATGAAGTTGACAAATAAGTTGACAAAGAAAAAATCAAAACCTTACTACAAAAACGGTGCTAAGTTTTCCTTCTTTTACTCCGGTCGGTGTGAATACAGGCATATGTGGATGCCCTCTCTTGCTAGGAAATAAGGATGAAAGAACCTTTATTGAATCCTTTGTTGTCAGTGTTTTTCTGAAGTGTCTACTTCAGTGAAATGTTGACAAGAGGCCATTCCTCACTTTGAACTAAATGTTAAGTCAACCTAAACATCCCATTTCTGAAGTCATGGCTAAAAATTTCCCTCTCCTCTGGTAATGTTTCTGTTTGTGCTCATAAAATGAGTCTACGCAGCCTATCGAGTATGTGTGAGATCAGTTCGCTGTGACATGAGTCAGTGAATAGAAAGAGGAAGCTACATCGAGTAGCTTTAACATCGTATTGGTCTTCTCTGAAAGACTGATCTTTCAGAGTATTCACACAGGTTCTCGAAAGTTTTTATTTATTTTTTTTGTTGTATCTGACACCAGCACATTGAGAGCAGATACTTTTGGTTTTGTGAGTCCTGTTCTGTCGCACTTGAAGGATATTCAATTGACTTGGGATATAGGTTAGAGTCCAAGTCAACGCCTCAGGTTTCCTGTCGTGTTCCATCACTGAGCAGGTTTTTTTTTTTTTGGGAGGGTGGTTGTTCTCTTTTGTCCTGTCCCTCTAAACTGAAGGAGTGTTGCAGTCATGAGGAGGAGTAAAGAGTCTGTGGGACTGCTCGGCATCTGGTCAAAACCGAATCCACGTGAAAGGCAGGGATGAAAACCTTCAAGCAGAACTTTATATTGTCGACAATCAGTGTCATCCAAGTCAATTGTTGATCCTTTTAAGGCTGTGGCTGATCCGTGTAAGAGCATGGCCAAACTGTCTGATTCTGTGTGAAAAGGAAGTACTCTCCTCTTTCCTCTCATCAGATGCCTTTAGGTTTGAGGCCTTTTCAATGAACACATTGAACTGAACTGTCTGAACCATAATGGAAGACTCGAAATATGCTAAAGTGCTACCCCTTCAAGTCACAAGAGGGAAATGTTGTATAACTCATGAGCTTTTAAACTTAAGAGCAGAAATGAGAAAGTTTTTTTTAGATTTCTGGCTTACATTCACTCAAAAACACAGAACTTTTGGAATTTGCTGATTTTTTTCAAAACTGTCTAAATGTTGCCTCATAGGCTGACATAGTTCACGTGAGCAAACACGAAGCATTATATTTAAAGCATCACCAATGTCTGGCAACCTTTTGCTCATGGGATCCCCCTTCAGTTGTGAAAGGTAGCGCTGGTGTCTTAGCAACACTTTTGCAGCCCTTCACACAGGCAGCCATACATGTCTTTGTTGCCATGCTGAAGAAAAAGACAAAGATACTGACAGAAGCAAAAAACATTGTGGAATGAGGAAAAAACTTATAGACATAACCAAAAGAATTATAGCTTTTATTCCAGAATGTTAATTCAGTCATTTTAGTTTGGAATAACTGGATAAAAGGGTGCTAAATTGTCTTTGACAACTTAAAAAATGAATACAATTCGGAAATTTTCTATCGCATAGATAACTATATAAAAAACTGACCTCATTTTACATATTCCATGATTGCCCTTACATTGCAGCTGAGCGTGGGAGTATCTGTTGCTGCTGTGATGAACACAGGGAGTGACAAGTCTTATAGCATGACCTCCCTTCTCTCCTACCATGCTCAGGCATTGCTTCAGTTTCTACCAAATTAGACCACACGCACACAAAGCTCCACAAATAGAGAGCCTCTGAAGAGCACTCGAGCCTGAGCATTAGAATTGGGAAACCTCACAAAGACACAATGCCATTAAAGAGCATTTGAGGTTCATGATGTGGAGACAATGCGCACACTCATTTTCTCATTCACTCCCACTGATACAAATAGGAGGATGAATTCCTACACAATTCCGAAGCCATCAACACAGCGAGAAAAAGAAATGCAAGCTCATGCATGAGATAAACAAATCGCATTCATCGCACCAATGTGGTTACAAATGCCAGCCACAGTACTCTGTCCATGAATCCTGCTTGTGTCTATTTTCATCCTCACAATGCTGTCCACATTACTTTGCCAAACCTTCGCTGTATCTTGGAGCCCAATTTTACTTATCTATCAAAACACACACACACACACAACTTAGCTCACGCTTCATCAAACGAGGTTTAATGCATTAGCAATGATGATAAAGGCCTCGATCGATGTTGAGCAGTTGGAGGACAATGTCTCTGAAAACCATCTGGTGAAACAGTCCGGTAAAACTGCAGCCGTGTTTTGTAGCACCAATCCATAACTTTAAAATCACGTTGACTCATTTGAAGGAGCTCCGCTGACTGATTCTAATCATTCTTATGTTATTTCAGCATTTTAGAAGTATATCTTAACCACTGTTACACACTCATTCGTATCCCACTTCAGTTTTGCTGGTATCGATTTCATTAGGGATGAGATGGTTAGATACCAACAGAAATCAAACAGACCTTCTAGGCGTGGCTTTATACTTTGTCTCTCCCTATGAAGCCTCTTGTATGAAATAAATGTGATTTAGCTGTAATGGTATCTCGAAACCCAAGTACTATTTTATAAAAGCTTTTGTCGCTCGAGCTTACTGAGATGTAAAATTTCACGTTTAGTCATACATTAAAAGAAAAGTAAGACCTATCAGCAGAGAGTTTTACTCCATGAAATTATCGGTATAATGTTTGAATGCATAGCGGCAGTGTCATGACTAAATTCCAACAGTAAATCATCCGATGTCAATTGAATAATGGATATCACTTTCTCCTTTCACTTCTTTATGCTCAACATTATTCTCATTACTGAATAATATTCTCCTCATGTATTTTCTTTCAAGATAGTAGATAGATATTACTCAGACGACATTTCTACATGGTATCTATGATTTGGCTTCCACATAGTCTGGCATTTATTGAGCTATATATATACATTTGGTCTAGTTTGAGACCGTCTTTTAAACAAACTCTACATTTACAACAGACTCCACATTTTTAACAGTTTACACATTTTTTGCTCGCCATGCATTAAAAAGATTAACCACTTTTAAAAAATGTACATTTAAGAAAACTCCCTGTCCCTGAAACTTAGCATTGGAATGAATATGTAGAATGAATATGAATATGTACCAGAGGTTTAGTACCTGTTTGGAGTAGTTATTTTAAATCATTAGCATATCTTCCTATCAGCTTAGACTGTTCTCAGCCCAAACTAGACACACACTGATACCTGCTTCCTTAGTTTTAAATGTAGACGGCACCTTACAAGTGTCACTTTCTCTGAAGTTCAAACATCCTTTTCAATATGGGGGAACCTTTAATCTGCTTTTCTTCATTTAAATTTGACTGCTTTTCCGTGGGCACTTTTTTAAAGCATTTTTTAGGCTCCTTTCCAAAGTCCACTTTGGGAAAAATCAAGCTGGATTTTATCATCATGTCAGATTGGGGCTGTGACCCATTATGATAGAAATGGCTGCCATCACTACAATTGGTGTTTTGTCACACCTCCCGACTCACAAACGCTCACTTTTTTTTACACTTTGGTTGCACTCTAGATGAATTAGTGTCGGCGCAGGCCACAGGCTGTGCATTTACTGAAGCATTCTATCTCTTGCACACTGATTTAAATCATATGTAGTCATATCTGTTACTGATGACAGGCAGAAATACGAAGAGAAGGCCCACTCACAGTTGGCACTGAAGTTTGTATTAATCCTGTCACACTATTATCTTTTTATAATCCACGGTATGTTTAGTCCCGTTTCACCTAATTGAATTCAGTCCACATTGTAATGCGTCTTTTTAAATGCAGCCTAAATGAGCAGAGGTAATTTGTTCACCTGTAATAGAGCTTGTCTGCACTGTCCAAGCTCATGTCTGAGTTTGGCTGAATTAAGTGGCAAATGATTCTCAGTCAGGTTTAATGGAGTGGATATGAGTGACTCTGGCTGAATGCAGTCTTCGTCCCTCAGAACAAGGCCCAGAGTTCTGCAGCCTGTCGGTACGGCACCAATCTAATTAGCTCTTAATTGAATTATTCTGAGCTCCCCGTCCATATATTTCCTACACAAGAAGCGTATTACTTGCGGTCTGTGGATGCATGTTTATGTTTATGGATCAGTGTGTAAAAAAAACAGAGTCCATATATTCATATTTTTCCACATTTCAAATGCTCTTTTGTCATTTATGTGTTTTAAATGCAGTTTTCATTGAGTGGACTAATACAGAAAATGAAGAAAAGATCTTTTTTAACTAAATCTTCCCTCTTGTTTCCCCCTTTCTCTTTGTCTCCCCTCCCTCTCTCCTGCTCTGTGTTTTCAGGATGTGAAGTCGACCTTTTTTCAGTTTGGTGCCTCCATCCAGCAGGAGGCTCTGCTCATGCTGAACATCATGGAGGAGTACGACTGGCACATCTTCTCCATCGTCACGTCAAAGTTTCCCGGCTACCAGGAGTTCATCAATATCCTAAAAACTACTGTGGACAACAGGTGGGATCATTGCTTTTGAACTTTACTAAATTTAGGTGTCACCGACACAAGCGAAAATGGCCAAAAAGAAAAGCTTTAGATGTAAGAGAGGTAACAAATACAACACAGGTTCTGGGACATCCACGAAGCGTCTTTGACTTTCATGACAAGCAAACAAAGTTTTACAGCCACAATGTTAACCATGTTCACCATTTGGATTAAGGTGTTGGACACCATGATGAAGTGGGAGACTAACTGCAATGTAATTAGATTTCTCACCGATTGGTTACAAACATAATGATTCAATTTGGCCTGATGATGAAAGTGTAATTGTTTTATGTGTCCTGAAACTGCATTTCCTCAAGTTCTGTGGGAAAATGTCATGTTTGACCACAATTAGTGAAATAGCTGTGGACAGAAGTGTAAAACAGATTCCTCTAAATGTCATAATCATTGCTATTGATAGTCAGCTGTTCCTTGCAAAATGCCTAATTAAATTACAGCAGGCTGAATGGGATGTTGTTGCAGGCCTTGTTTATTCATACAATGATATAAAAAATTACTATCATTAAGTAAAAAAAAAAAAGAAGATTAGACATTCAGCTTATTTGGAGACTTATTTTGCTATACACCAGTTAAGAAAAGTTTAGTGACTTTTTTTTTTTATTGAGGAGTCAAAAAAAAAAGAGTGAACTTTGCTGTTACAAACAATTCATATTTTATCGGCTGGTACGAGGGGATTTAAATAAGTTTCCATCAATTTTAAATGTTGCTGCAGGTCCTTTTTCTGCTTATTTAATTCCCACTTTGAGCACTGGTTAGTTCCTGGGTGCCTCGGGAAATAATTAAATTGCTTTGCACACTATAGTGAATGTCAATAGGGGCACATTAACAGTTTAATCTTAACATCGCTAAATTACACAAAATACTTGCCCCAGAGATCGAAAAAGTCATTGTATCTAAAATTTAATTAGTCACAGTTTATCTGACATCTGGTTGTGGGGCCTCCATCCCCATAAAAAAGCGTCCCACAGGTGGTGTGGAGTTGTCTGGCAGGTGCATTTTTGTTTATCCGGGTACCTCTGGGCACATTTTGTCCTGAAAAGTAAATCATAACTTTTGATAGAAGATAGTGTCATGTGTCCCTTCACGCATATTTCCTGTAGTTCAGACTCAAACAGAGGCCAGGTCTATAGGGGGTTGTGATCCAACTCAAGAATACCAAGCGGCCATCTCATTATGGAACATTGAACAATGAACAATTAGTGGGTTGGATCATTTACATTTTGACCAGTGTTTTTGGTGACTTGATTTCATCCCACGGTGGTCTTTGTAAAAAAAAAAAAAATATTACATCTGCCTGAAATTGTCATCATTGTTGTCCTATCTCCTTGCTCTGTGAAAGTGCGTGTCTACCTGCGTTTATGTGAGTGTCATTGTCTGTCTATTAGTGTTGTCATGAGGGACGTGTAGATGGTCATCACTATGGACAGCAAGAAAAGGACAGCAAGTCCCAAATCACTCTCGTGTTACAGTGCCTGTCTACTGTTGAACTCTTACATGCGGGGTTAACAGCTCCCCTCGTTTCCTCACTGTTTGCCACATTTTAACACTCACGCCCTATTGTGTGTGTGTGTGTGTCTTTGTGCTTCACTCCGCTAGCTCTTGCTACATGCTGCTAGCCCCTGATAGCAGCATACAACCAGTTTATGACATATTATGTCATTTAATTACCAAGATAACTGCCATTTCTTATTTTTTTTGCCACCCTTTAGCCTATTTTAATGGGATTGCTGATGTACCGTCATTCAACACATTGTGAAAAAAAGGGCAGTCGGTCCCACCGGATGGAAATAAAAGCATTGTCTTTTTTAATGAGCACTTGTTCATTTTCGCTCTGCAGGCTATAACCAGACAACTATAAAGAAAAAGCTATGGAAATATGCAGACTTGCTTTCTACTACTACAATTTAAAACTTATTTATTCTCCAATCTTTTAGAAAAAAATGTGCACAATCATTTCATTTGTCTTTCTCTAGTTATTTGAGAAAAACACAGTGCACAAACTTTTTTTTCTTTTTCTCTCGGGGGTCTAATAGCTGACAGAGATTGCATATAATGCTGATACAGTATCTGTAACATTTTCTGATATCTGTTATGACTAATTAGCATGATGACCACAGGCATCGCAGTGTACCTCACACATTAACAGGACAGTGTTTGTTCTTTCTTTTGCTCTGTGGGCTAAAGGCTGTGGTGAATCATGATACAGGGCCCATTTTAATGTTCAACCTCAACCATCCATTTAGCCTAAATATTGTGACAAAAATTTCTCACCTCTTTTAGTTAAAGCCTCAATTACTGATGATGGTAATCACAATGGATGATTATGAGTGCCTAATCTGTTAAATAAGATATTCAAATTTCTTTCCTCCCCTTGTTTTTCCTGTCTTAGTTTCGTGGGCTGGGACCTGCAGAATATTATCACTCTGGATGCAGTGGAGGAAGACAGTCGCTCTCAGATCATGCTCAAGAAGGTCCAGTCTCCTGTGGTCCTGCTGTACTGCTCCAAGGATGAGGCGGTCTACATTCTGGACGAGGCGCGCTCCCTCGGCCTGACCGGTTTCGGTTACATCTGGATTGTGCCGTCGCTCACCACCGGAAACCCCGAAATAACCCCAGAGACGTTTCCGTGTGGGATGATTTCAGTGTCATACGACGACTGGGACTACCCGTTGGAGGCCAGAGTCCGTGATGGTCTGGGGATCATAACGTCCGCGGCGGCGGCCATGTTGGAGGAGTATGGCGACATCCCCGAGGCCAAGACCTCCTGTTACGGTCAAATGGAGAAGACAACCAAGCTGCCACCGAGCGCATTACATAAGTAAGTAAAAATGAAATGTTTTTCCTTTGACATTTTTCTAAATAATGCATATATGAAAATACAATTTCAGCTGTTTAGGCGGAACCCATTCCACCAAACCAACATCAAAGACAGAGACGAAATGTGCTACAAGAGATTAGAATTACAGCTAAGGGCACATAGATAGTGTGTTTGAAGAAGGAGGGGGAAATTAAGAGATCTGAATGGAATTTGAAGAGGGAGTTTGTAGTTTAAGCTGTGATGAAAGAGGCAGGAAGAGAATATAAGAAGGGGATAGCAGCAGGAGGCCACTCCAAGTGAGTGCCTTCCCAAATTGAAGAGCTCCTCAATGAGTCCTTCTGTTCCTCTTCTCATTTATTCCTCCATTTCCCGTTCGCTCTCCTGCGCTCCCCCTCTCGTCATGCCTTCACCCCCCCAACAGCCAGTGGGAGATGTTGCAGGTTTTGCCAGCTCTGTCTGGTCTTCCATCTGTCAGGGAGGGCAGAGACACACACACAGCCTGTGTTTACAACCCAGTATTGTTTCAGTTTGGAATAACGATGTGTGAAATTAACATTCTGACGTCAAAGGACAGACATTCAGAAATTTAGGCAGAAGTGCTGTCACCACTATAAAATAATTATTACTGTAGGAAACAATTGTCAGTAAATATTGGTTCACATAAATGCAGGTGGATGCTTGCCAATCATTTTTCCAAAACTCATTTTCCTTTTCACTACTGGCACAGTTCAGGAAAAATACACAAAGAAAAAACACCCAAGAGCTTCATTTTAGACTCTTTCGGCTTTGGTTAGGAGATTAACAATAAAAAAAAAAAATACATGAGAGTATGCTACTGGTCCTTTGGACAAATGAGGCATTTGGAGAAAATCAAACATAGCATACTGGCACAAATGTTTCATACAAGCCGTAAAAGTATAG